TAGAAAGAATCCAAATTACCACCAGTGGTCCAGAAGCGAAGCGATAGTCCAAGGTAAACACCACTCCTCATGCAGTGCTTTCTGTAAACGCTTTCGGCCGCACCTAATTGCTATTAGAGAAAAGTTTCCTGTATAACTTAGCGACTTTCATCAACATGATTTAATAGTGTTTAAGTTGATTACGACCGCTCTTCATCCGCCACGCCTAAAAAATAATGGGTTCCGAAGGCAATGCGTAGTATTCAAAACGAAGATTTTACTTCCGCAAGGCTAATTAGCCTATAGGTTTCAAATCAATATAACCAACGTCGTTTCAAACAAGTCTAGTTAATGAATCCGAAGGCAAAATAATAACAATGATGTTCGTTCGAGTGTTACAGGGAAGTTTTCACCTGCCAGTGCACTGAGCCTACCGGGTGTTTTTTACCGTTATTAAGAGCAGTTGTTTCCAGCTGGCGTCATGCAACTCTAGATCTCTCCTAAGTAATGTACAACCCTCAGCCCAGAGCGATCTACAGGAAGGTACCATAATCACGTTCCGTCAAGTTTCATGGTTAATTAGCCAATCATGTCAAAATGATGTTAAAGTTGATGGTTTGTATTTTACAGTAGCACCCAACTTGCCTCCTTTGGAAAGTAGAGGGTGACATGACCGCAAATTGTCATGGCTTCTTTCGCACGATGTTACAACTTAAAATGGCCACCTTTCGGACCGTAGGCCAACCGATGCCCGCTAGGAACAACACCAAAGCGAGGGGCGAATTTTCTATATAGACCCGATCGTTTTCGTGCGCTTTTACGATGCACCCCAGGGACGGTACCTGAATCCTTGCTTGCGCAAAGAGCGTACATTCTAAAACGGAAAGCTACAAGATAAAGCTAACAGTTAGAGCCAAGACAAATTGCTCGATAAAGTCTACCCGCTAAGTAGGCGCCAAGTAAGGTTCACTGAAAGTCACGCATCTTTTTACCATATTTAAGAGCATGTTTTTTCAACACGAGGGCTATCGAGTCATGTTTTAGACGTCTGCTACTCTCCTAAGTGCAAGGTTAACCCTCAGAATAGTGCTGAACCCAAGAATTTATCATAATCATGACTCTAAGAATTTATATCATTAAGTTGAAAGGTAGTGAACCCTTCGTGTTACTTCACGTGGCGTCACGTGTAAAATTGTCATTAGTTTTAGTTTTAGTTTCGTATTACAACATCAAAGACGCCTTCGAATCATAGAGGACAAATAACCCAAGACAGGTACTCTTACATCAAATTGTAACCCCCCTCCGGATGGCACTCGCTTGTCAAACATCGATATTTCTACTACGGAAGCTGCCCGAAATAAGAGCGTCAAATGACGCGTATTACATATAGACCCGCTCTTGTTCGGACACTCAATGCAAATAATCTTTGGAGGTAACTATTAATGTAGAAAGACAAAGATAAAGCTAAAGGACCTCAGTTAACTTTATACAAGATCGCTGTCCAGATCTATCGACCAATCGTTAATGCTTGTAAAGAAACACGAGAGTACTACACAAAAACCCGATAAGATTCCTGAAGAAGTAGCAGAGATTCGGGTTTAACTATGGTAAAGTGATAAAACCAAGATTACTTCCTAGTTTAAGGTTACTAGTTTCTTCTTGATCGATTCAAAGGTAGTTTAGAAGTAAGGTTCTTTCACGTTGGTTTATAAACCCTTAGCACAAAAGAATATAAGACAATACAAAGATATTACAAAATTTCCAAATATTAATCCCCCAGGCTAGGGCAGCTACTAGCTTGTTCTGCCAGAGTGGAACCTTATTTTGTTCTACTTTAGTCGAACGAACTAATTAGTCTATAGAGAGTAAAATGTATCCGCAGAATACCTTTAACTGCTTGTAACATAGTTGGTGCTGGATTAGCTACCATCCTCATTTAACCTGGCTGCGGGCTAGGAGTTTTACTCGGAGCTTTCATATTAGGGATTTCAAGGCACCGTTTATTAAAGGGGCATCTTTTCATTTTCCTCCCTTATTGCTTTTGCTTGATAAAAGTCATCGCCTTGTTTTGTCTTATGATTGCTTTATTAGTTTATTTGGACTCTAAGTTAACAAGTGTATTTTTCATTTAACTCATTGTGCAATAGACAAACCATATAAGGTAACTTGTACCGTAAATCGATGATACTGCACGCTCAAAAGGCCATAAACCTAAAAACTGAAGCTGACTCTCTATCTTTGTAAAAATATCTCTCTTTGAAATAGCAAATTATTACTAAAGTAAAAAAAAACTTTTAATGTAAAGGAACGTCCTTGTACCTAATGTAACCAGATCTGAAAAATGATTGACGTAAATAAAAAATGTTACCTTTACCGAATCTTTGATACGGGTTAATCTAAATTCAAGTAGTTTGTCTCATTGACTAACAAAATTAAAAATGGGATCCTATCAGTTTTTAAGGGTTCTGTTAGACAAGCTCTAACGGTGGTTTTGGTATAATTTAGTAATTGGATTGAATGAAGCTCGCTGTATAAATCAACGAGTAATATCATATACGAGTACCCTATCTTTTAACAAGGTCCTTCTACTAGTAACAAAACAACTATTTTAATGGGGCCGCTCTAGCATCGAGTTTTACATCTTACGAGTAATTGTCCTTGTGTATCGACCAAGAACATGGCTGTTAGAAGTAAAACTAAAGGGAACAAAAGTCAAACATTTGTAATTAACCTTATTCATTAATAACCTTATTAGCTGCTATTCCTGAATGTTTAACAAGTCTAACAAAGAGACAATGTTTGAATTAACAGTTAATGAGGATACGTACTATTTATCTTTTTTTAGAAGGGTTTTTTTCCTAATAAGGTACTCAGAAAACGATTGAGTGACTTATTCACTAAACTAAACTAACTTTGCTCGGACAAAATAAAGAATAACGTTTAACTCTAAGTGGTTTAAGGTGATGTAGTATTTTTAAGTTAATAAACCAAACGAAACGAAATCACAATATTATAAACTCCGTAAGCTAAAGTACCAGCCTTATTTTAATTAACGTTATTGTCCTAAAGCAAAAATCTTTGTTATAAATAAGATTATCATATATAAAGTTGGCTTGATATCTACAACAAACTTTAAGCGAACTGCATGAACGGAAGCGTGGTGTATTGTGTATCCCTGGCTAAGCCTAATTTAACAAGTCTGATTAATGACAGAATAAATAATCAAGCTTACTGGCTACTGGAACTAATTTAACGCAGAAAATAACATAAATGGTCCGTATCCTCATTAGTAGGCAACTATAGCAAGGCTATAATACCCTCGACACATAGGGCTATAACTTCACCCCTTTCTTCTTTGAGGAATGTACCCTATTCACGAGTCATTCACAGGAAATTAGCATAATCAAGGTTTAGAGGAAAAATCTTTACCCTTGTTGAAGAAATAGTGTGCTTAACAAATAAAACTAAATAAAAATGCCTAAAAGTTTACTTGTCATAAATATTCTTTTGCACATTAGGGTATCGTTACATACTAATTAAAGTAGCTGCAAGGTAACGAAGAAATCAAAAAATCAAATAAATAACCCCTTTGAATAATTAAAATAACTGGGTAAAATTACTAATTAAATAAAACGGAGAATTTTATCGCATGGTCAAGCTTTTCAAAACAGCGTATAAAAGAGAAGAGCTCGTTAACCCTCTCTTGCTGCTCACTTTCTTCATGCGCTTAGCCTTCTTTTTTGGTGCACGAGCTTGTATAGCAGCCAAACATCGCGCCTTGATTACAGCGACCTAAGCTATTTCAAAGGACTTGATTTAAAGTTAGAAACATTATACCTCAGCTATGCAGGTTGACTCCTTGATGGGGAGACTATGTCGATTATTTTGACAGTTGACTGTTTCTCATACCTTAAGACATGCGTGTTGTGTTTCATTCTTCCTGGGCTCAAGGATTGCTTTTTGTCCCTAGACTCAGGTCGAAAAGCATCCGAACAAGATTGGGCCCTTTCTTTAGGCGTCTGCTGCGCTTATTACTCCTTTTTGTTTCCCGGTAATTGGAACAACCTGATAGACTTTAGGGTGCCATCCAAAGATGGGCTAACGGGTTGGTGTAAATCCCATAACGTCTAGCGGTGGTTTAGTAATCCTCTAGAATCGATGGCTTTCGTGACTTTAGTTGAAAACATACAGCAAACTAAAGCGATTTCCTATAGACTGGCACTCCATTTAATGTAAGTTGTCCTACTCAATCGAAGAAACGCTGAAGCTGGCACGTAACCTTTGGAGAGCCGTAGGTTTGTCGTGGCTGGAAAGAGCTGCTCTTAAAATTGGTGAAAACGGCGCAGCGGATAGGTTCTTGAAGCAGGTGAAATATTCACTATAGCTGAAAACCTATACTGATGTCAAGCTTAATTGCCGCAAGCTTCGTAACTTCGAGTAAATGGGGCTTATCAATCATGATTAACCTATTTGACTAACTTTACCGTTTTGCTGAATGCATACTAGTGTGCCTGTGGCAGTTGTCTATTCTTATAGGCAGTCAAACAGATCATATGAAATCTTGGGGGAAATGATAAGTTGCGTGAGTACTTCGGGCTACTAGCTGTGATAAGTCCGTCTGAGAGTGTTTGCTCGAAAAGGCTTGTGCAATGAGTGATTTTAATAGCACTAGCAGTCCATGGGTCGCTATTGAGGATGATTTCATTCTCTCCTCGCTGGTGATATAGTACTTGTATTATATATGCATGTATAAACGTATGTGTGTATGTATGGTATTGGTACTATATAAATAGTGCTATTTACTAGCATGCTTAAAAAGCCCATGAGGAGCCCTATACTTTATTCGCTTTAGATTGTATCTTAGCTTCGCAGACTTAATATGCATTCTTGCTCTCGTTACATTCCTACATATGCATTTAGAGTGAGTTGTAAACTCCGATATCAAATAAAGGCATGTGCGGATTCGAATTAAATAAGATTATTTTGTAAAAATGTGTATAACCCCTATCAAGGGTCAGAAACAGCCTCCATGTTTGGTCCTCAAGGTAACGTGAGAGGAGCTGTCCCGTCTCCAATAAAGCATCTCGTTTTATATCTTTATTAATCATCAAGGTTTAATTTATACCACAAGTTAGGGTAAACACGTCAAACATTACAAAGTTTATCCGATACAAAGATTTATACAGCACTACAATAGTTATTAATATTTTTCAAACCAGTTTAAAGTTGGCCAGAAAGTCCCTACAATCGAGGCGGACAACTTTCAAGCTTCTGTCTTGGCGGGTATACTCTTTAGCGGGGAGGTGAATAAACGAGTAATAGCTTCTATAATTATTTAACTTGTAGATTTGAATCCATTGCATCCTTATTTTCCTAAGGGTTTAATGATCTTGGTTTAAAAACTAGTCTTCCAGTGTACGCCCCTGAAAGAGATGAGCTATTATAGCCGTTTTATAAAATTGTAAAAAGCAAAAACTATTGGGTCCGAACTCCACCAACGGGGGAGGTGGTAGGGAGCTTGAAGTATCCAACTTTTGTTGACCAAATATGCATTAGGATAAAACTACAAATAAATAATGTTTGGAAAGTCTCATTAATGCATATAATAAAGTTGATTAATATTATTGTATGAACATACAGAGCAATAGTGTTAAAATTAACTTTTCTTTTTGGCGAGACACCTTATAAATCCATGTCTTCTGGAGTGGTAGTGACATAACTAAAAAATTCTGCAACTTTTTCCTATTAACAATTTTTTATATAGACACTACAGCCAACTAGGAAAACTACGCAGATGAGAGTTCTACTGAATATAGAAACATTATGGCCTGAAATATTATAAAATTATTTACAGTTATATAATATTCAAAAAAAATTTAGCAATTAATCATACTTAAACATTATTTTTTTCAAAATAATAAGAAAAATATTACAATTATGCTTTAAATATAGACCTTGAACCATTAATTTCTAACCAGTGCTACTTTTAAGAGGTCATCCTCTTTAATACTAAAAGGCAAGCCCCTATTTGACTTTAAAAACAAGGTGTACTTAAAAAGTTAAAGTAAATTAGGATTACTTAGAAATATTTGTCTAAATTAAAATTTAAGTAACTATAAAAAACACTAATTGGAAGTAAATAATGATCTCTATATCAAATTTATTAGGACGTTCTATGACTGCTTTCATTTTCACAAAATAAAATAAATTTGTTAACCTATATAGAGTATTATAAAAAAGATTTAAATGCATGTGTTAAGATTAATAATATATTTCCTACTCCAAACTGTTAAACAGTAAAGGGCACCCTTAATAAAAGTTGCAACAGTTCTATTGTAAGCTATTTTAGGCGTTGGTTTTACTTTTAGAGTTTTTGCATAAATTAACGCACGGATTTTGTTGGTTAACTCTGATCGATTCCGTGCTCAAACCACGTGGTACATGTTCTTTTTGAAAGGTAATAATACCCTTCTTCTACGGTTCAATAAGTCGATTGTTCCTCCTCTCTTCCTCCGACAGATTTTAATCAGAGTAAATTTGTAAAATAGCTAAAGTGTCCTTTTTGCTATCCACCTTACGAAAGACCATGAGCCGAACTCTGTGTTAAAACCTTTTGATATTCAAAAATTTTCCTTTTACTTTATTCTTCTAGATAAATTTGCTGTATTACATGTTTCATAAGGCGTATTAACTGTTGTGCGACACAGTGTTACTAATAAAATTTAATCTAAACTTTAAGATTCTATTTTAATTCTGTGGTATTGTTAAAACCGCTTTTGCTACCATTCTTCTGCAAATGGTAGAAGTAGTGGAGCTATATGTGTATCTGTCTTTGGTCAAAAGTTTTTTTTATAATAAACTTCAACGATTTAGTTTTGCAGATCAGTAACCAATAAGTTTGCTGTGTTAAACCGGCCACACTTGGTATGAAAGACTGTTCCAGTATCAAAGAAAACCCGTGTGGTACGTTTAATATGCATTTACTTGCGTCGTTTAAGAAGGGTGGTGAATAGTATATTAAAACGCTTTGATTCATAAAATTTGTACGCACTATTCTTCAGAGATGCTTCTTTCGACAATTTTTCACTTTTTTGGCCTTTTGTTGTCAAGTTTTTCATAGTCATACTTAAGAGAATACATCAGAATTATTGATGCTGGTCGGTGCAAAAATATATTTTAAATTTAGATTTCTAGAAAACACCCATTAGCTCACTTGAGGGCTCTATCTTATCAAAGTGCACTGTTATGTTAAGTACTTCTCGATACTAGTGTCCAACTAGTTGGGCTCTAAAGTCCATTAATGACCCATAAACGGGGAATACTGTTATTTATTATTACTCAATCGATGCCTCGACGTGACCTTTGCTTTCGAATTCGCTACTTGTATGGGAAGTCATCGTAGGCATAGAACCTAGCGATATAAATAAAACTTTCATTTAGGTTCGACAGGCTCTACTTGCTCACCTTTAAAGAGATAACTTTTACAGGTAATGCCAGTACACTGCGCGCAAGCGTTAGGATATATACTTTCAAAGTCAGAGCTACAGTCGATAGGGCCGTAGGAGACTAGTTTTTCTAACGGTATTCGATTTTGATATATTATTAACTCTTTCTGGTTCGTTTGCTAATCAAGCAGTTATAGTATGTACTCCATAAATTTGTGATACACGAAGAAACTGCCTTATAAACTGTAGTGTCAAATTTGTAGTTGTCATAATATGCAGCCATTTTATCCACTTAAACTGCTTCAAAAAAGCGCATTATACTCTACTTTCCATAATTTGTTATTATTGAGATTTTGCTTAATTTAACATATTTTAAATTCACTTTATACAACATCTTAGGGAGTTAATAAAAAAGGAGTTTTTTGACAAAACAAAGATAATTTGGGCATTACAATGAATTTCATTGATGGACGCACTCAACTAGAAAGAAGAAAATGTGTATTGTAATGTCATCTTTTATACTATTTCGCTATACTCTTAATTATTTATTATTTAGTTAAGCTACCTCACTTAAGTGAGCTTTGCAAGCAATATCGATGGCTGTATTAAGCGTAAACTTAGCAAATTGTTCTTAACTTATAATCCGTCCGAAAGTGAAACCTAAACTAGGAACTAGCAAATCAGCACGCTAACCCTTGCCTTTTGCCATGAATTGGAATAATCTGTAACACTTGCAGTAAAAAAGTTAAAAATATATCCCCTGTGGGCGTTTACAGCTTTGAAAATTTACCTCTTAACGCAAGAGGTTAGAACCGTCTTTACCTCGCAGCTTTAAACTTTAGTGAAAATTAAGCGAGAAAGCTACAAAAAAGTGCAAGCTTACTTCAATATACTAAAGTATTACGGGATAGAAACCTAATGTAGTGGGTTAGCACACATCATATATTATTGCGATTGGGTAACGCTAGTACAAATTTAAAGTTTGCTTTTTTTATTAGCATACGCTTGCTTCTATGGGGACACTAAAAATTAAATTCTTTTTTTTATTAAAACAATGGTATACTTTTTACTTAGGTGGTGTTCCGTTGCTAAGGTATTAAAAATATATATGGATTTGCTAGAAAAATATAACGATGGATGACCTTATTTGAGTTGATGTATAACCTTGCGCTATTATTTATTTGTTTACTGAATGTAAGGAGGGGCAAAAATTTCAATTAACTTCTTTTTCATGATCAAATGAAGGTTCGACGTAAAAAGGAGTTCCCCATCAATGTTCCAACAACTAAAAGCATAGAACTCTTGTATGTATACGTAAATTACTCTCAAATTGGTGAGTGCTCAACCTTGAAGTATCGCCAAGAGCATTATATTTCAATTCAGTAATCCTCTCGTGTTTAACAAATTTAAAATTAAAATGGTCTTCGTTTATGTCGGAAAGCTCTGCAAACCAAGTATCAAAAGAAAATTAAAACTTAAGGTGGTTGTTATAACGTTCGTTATGTTGCTTATTATCGAAATGAAAAAAAGTTGGTAACAACTGCACAGTTAATATACTTAGCAAGTGATGAATATAAGCCGTCCGAGAGCACTTCCCCACCAAAATTAGATCTGCAATGCCGTCATCGAGCTTATTTTGGGGAGCCATACCGCCCGGGCACTTGGCACACTAGTGAGGGGGAAGTTTAAGGATACTGACGGACCAAACGGCCCTCCTCGCGCACAAGCAGACCTGACAACGACAGACGGCGATATTTACGCAGAGGTGTTCGCCTTCCACATGTGTCCATCCCTCTCTGTCTGTCTCCGAGTCGTTCAAGGGCACCGCTCTCTTGAAACTAATTCTTCCATAGTAAAACTCGGGGGTCATCACCCTCTGAAAGCCTGAAATACAAATACACTCAGCAGCCTTGCGAGGGACAAAAAGTCTGCACACCCGCATAGTCGTATCGGCTGGGCCCCATCCATCTGTATTTCTCTGCTCGTTAACTGTTAACGATGATGATGGTCAAAGGAGGACTATAGTTACCTGAAGTCCTCATTACGTCGCCTAGAAAACCGTAGCTCATCATTGTCACCACGTGTTTTACCTCGTTAATACATGCACTAAATAAGTTAAAGGTGAAAGAAGTCGACGTGAAATTCCATTACAAGTGCTCCCTGATTAAAGACTTGCGCGCAGTCGAGTGGTCGGTGGTTTCCAAGAACGATGTGAAGGGCGGACGTCACAGGCGTGGCCACTCCGCATGTAGTATAGGCTTAAAAAATCTGTGTTGGACGCAGAGGGTAAAGCTAAACAAACAAACGAATGAGGAACCAAGACAATTGGTTGAGCCCCCTGGGAGCGGGCTGAGGCAGATGTCGGAATCTACAGAAATAACCGCATCCAAAACCTGTCAAATATTTATTAAGTAGTCAGTAATTCCGACAGACTTCCCAAACTACTACGCTACTTCGCCACCACAAACTTAAACCTATAGAACTGTTCTTAGCTTTCATTTGTGCATACAATCTAATAAAAATATTAACAAACCTCGTTAAACGTTCCGTCGCCTCCGATGCACACGAGGCCTATAACCATATAAAACAATGAGCGGCGAGGATACAAGGGGGATGGAAGGGACAAGTCGCACCGTCATAATTCTTTAAATTAGACTTATAAACAATATCCTTAGCATGCCCACTGTACTCGGTCACTGGATGACTAGAGAATAGCACAAGCAAACAGTTGTAAGTGAGTATGTTTTTACCACAAACTTCAAAGAAAATGCGAGCCAATGAAAAAATGGGTGCCACATGTTTTCTCCATATGCGCAACGCCGCTTTCTTTCCGCCATAGGGGTTAACAATCACCAATAACGATCTGGGCCGCTTTTGCTTGACCGCCTCTAAGGAAACAAGAGGGTTTAGTCAGCCTGTTCCTTAAGCTTTGGGGTTGTGCTGCTGCTAGTAAGAGTTCACGCATCATATTGAAGAGCTATTTAAGAAACCACACGAAACAAGAGTATTTAGCGCATTCACTGTTGCTCGGCAATCGGATACAGATTCAGCGATGAACAGATGGAATTTCAGCACAAGTCCATAAGACCCTATATAATTTTATTAGCCATCTAGTAAGCGGTCAGTAATAATGGACCTTCGAGGGACGCGGCCTCAGAAACTAAAAACGAGAAGGAATGCTTCCTTGGAGGAACCACAGATTTTAACTTTTTGAAAGAATTTATGAGAAAAGTCAGCTTGATATACCGCTCTACTCATAATGCAATCTATATTATAATGTTTTTCTTTAAAGACAAATAAGGATCCATGTTGATAACTGGATGCCAAATAACAATAAAAGAATTACATAGTCTTAACCCACCAAAGAGATAAGTTAAATGTACCGAGTAGTTCTCATCTTCCCTTTTTATCATTTTTGCTATACAAACAATTGAAAGTACGTATTAATTATTAAAATTATAACTACAAAAAGTAGCTGGGTTTATATTATGGAATTTTATTATTGCATATATCTTTTTTTACAGCCAAAGACAATTTTTAAATTTGTCTGTGTGTACTCCCTTGCATTCTTTTTTATTATTTTGGTATAGAAGAAGATCCCCCTGCCTGCTGTTCGTAGTTTCCTTGACTTATTGTATATAAAGTAATCAAAAAACTGCTAATTCCGCCCTCCTTGGCTCCCACTAAGAACCTTAAAGGCCCGATTCTTGATTCATTATAGAGAATACCTTTTTTAAAGGTTTCGTAACGAAAATGTTATTAACTGAAAGATTTAGAGGACTTTTATTTTTGCTTCGCTCATCTAATATTTATATAAAGATTATATTGTGCTATCAAGAGTATTACGCTCAGTACCTATCAATTCCAAGCCCCCTTCTTTGCCTTTTAAAGCTTTTGTATTTTTTGGTTGTAAGTTTCCTTCACTAAGTATAAGATAAGAAAAGTATATTATATAGCTTTTATAGTTTCCAGCGCTGCCTCTTTGTTACCAACAGCAGAATTTGAACCTTACTTCCGTGAAATCATTCGATTGAGAGGCAAAATAGGGTTGAAAGTGAAGTTGAGGTAAAGCCGTAGACTCAGCAGTTCTTTCCTCTACACATAAATACTATTTTATCAGAGGACGCTAAATTAATATACTATTATTTAGGGGATATGATCGCCTTCTGTACGTTTATTATTCTCAACTAGTTAGTAAACTTAGAACTTTAACAAATAAAATTTTGCTGTTTCTAATAAATTTTTTTTATAGATCTGTTAAAAGGCTTGAATTATGAGCTGCTGGTGAAGAACTTTAAATTATAGAAACTAAACCACTCAGCTAACTTAAAAAATAGAGTGCCTAATTTTTAACTCAAAAAATTTATTAAACAAAACAGTGAAAACATTGAAATTATAACGGAATACGCAGCATCTTTAAAGCCTAACTAAACTCTTGCACTTAACGGTGTATACTATTCAGGCCCTAAGCTTCCGTGAAAAAAGATCCGGAAACTTGATTAAACTATACATATGCTCCCATCACTGAAAGATGAACAATTGCAACCTGTAATTACTAAGTGCGCAGTGCTAACTGGATTGTTGGTAAAAGACTTTTTCTTTCAAAAGCAGTTTGACGAAAAAATACCTCTAATAATCCGCATATTTTTATTAGCGAATCTTTCTTCAAAGTTATAAGGATCGTCTAAAGAGAGCGCCCTATTCATTCATGGTACAACATTGTGTTTATTTTTATAAAACTTGAAAACAAGAACCTCAGCTCCTTCCTTAAATCTTTTGACGGTGCTAGATCCACAGCTAGAAAAAATAAGTATACCACAATAAGAAAAGATTTATCAAACTTCCGCTTAGCTATAACGTTAAGAACAACTCCCATAAATAAAATTATATAAATCGTAATCTATTATTAACGTGCGAGCTGGTTATACGCCAAGTTTGGAACTCAATGATGTTATGGAGTTCTCTAATTTAATTATAGTTTGTATTTTTTGGAATGTGAGTCAAACAAGACTTCTTAGAATATATCACTTTATGAATCAAACTGTTAGTTTTTACAATATTTTGTTTAGGTTGCCCTTTGGTACTTGTGTGGGCAGTAAAAATTAATTTTAAGTATTTACCACTCTCCCTACAAAATGTTTCAATACTCGGTGCCGAATGCTCTCGCTTAATAGAAAAAGTCTTCTCAATTTTGCCTAATAAAATTAGTATATATAATAGTTGGTCAGTAAAAAAGGACAGTTTTTTAGCAATAATACGAGGCGTAAAGGCACTGGAGGACGAAGTGCGGTCGAGTATAGCGCCTGATCCTTTATAAATTTCGGGTTTAACATCACTTTCTTTCTCTTCGCAAAGTCTTGTAACGCTGACTATATTCTTCACGTTGATTTTATACTTCTTTTCTAATTTTCTAATTAAAAAAATTTATAAGTTTATACATGAGGCGCTTACTTGATTTCCAAAAATAATTTGGGTGAAAAAACTCTAATGATTTGTTGTCCAACGTTACGAGTGTTTTTAGACCATTTACGACCATTAACGTTTTTATAATATGCGGTGTTTCTGGTTCCATAAAATTTTTAGGGGCTAAATCATTTGTCTCATTCTGTATGCAGCATATTGATTAATAAATATTTAAAATTTGAAAAATAATATAAAGTATAATTTAACTAAGTTTAAGCTTGTCCTAAGGGCCTCAAACCAATTAAATTAATAATTTACTCAGTTTTAAATTGGAATTACAACCTTAACCGAGAAAAAAGGAGATTTAAAGCCTTTACTCTCTCTTTTTTGAATCGTCGAAGAAGTTGAATTCATGCCCAAATGATCTACTTTGCCGGTCATTAAGAAAGAATACTAATGCTACTGTAAACCGTAGCTACGAATTGAACCATTTAGTTTGCAACACACTTTAAGTTGGTAAGGAAATAAGCTTACAAAGTATAAACGACTTAGTATTATATAAAACCACAGAAGTTTTAGGGCCACTAATCCACAAAATTAGTAAACCCCCATCCTTACCTTTAAGAGTTTTAATAAAAACTTGCTTTACTTTATAATTGACCAAAAAATTTCCTATAATTAAGGTATTTAGGTATTAACTTATAAGTGCTCTTCATTGTCAAAGTAATTTATTAACGGCTGAAACTAATATATACTAAGGGAGAAAAAAAATAATGATAAAGATTTAGCTATATGTGTTGTTTTAAAATATGGAGACGAAATATGAAAACTTCGTGTAAAATATACCTATTTTTATGCACATTATTATCCAAAAAATGAGTACAGATATAGCAACACAGTTAAAGCTATTTTGTTTTGGCAAAAGTTTAAGGCCTAACAATATTCCTTATTATAACTAATACACTAAAATCACACCTTTTGGAGAAAAGTACAATATATAAGCTTGAAAACCCAAAATACTACAATTGAATTATTTTAAATTTTTATTTTTACCAGCCTGGAAATAGTTTTTTCGAGTTTATAGGCTTACTGTAGGTATATTTTTAAGTTTAAAAGTAATTTTCATGAAACTATTTACATTACTTATCTCCCATTACTGGACCACCAGCTTTTAAGCTAACAATCGGAAACTAGTAGGTTTCATTGCTGAAAGGGTACTATCAAGACTCTCTAGAAGTAAGCAATTGAGAGTCAACCTGCAAGAATCCACCCCAACCCTCATTTTTTTCAATAATTGCCAGTCTTAAAAAAAACTGGACTTGGAAAGGGAAGACATATTCCTTTATTGTGTTTTAGCGGGCGAGTGAATCAGCAATCCTAGAGGGTTTACTTAGTTTTGTTCTGCCATAATAGAGCCTATACATATCTTCCTTTTAATGCTTATTTATACTTTTAACAGTTATTTGCTGACTGAAAAGGAACATTACAACTTTAACTAAGGAGTTGCTCTTTCATGATAAGACTTTAAAAAGTTACTATAATAACTTGTCCTCCTAAAGTAAAGCAAGGCTTTATTCCCGAAGCGTGAACAAGCTTGGATTTTACCACCTTCAGTAAAGTAAGAAAAAGCAGTCTTATCCAACAAATGACATTTTTTCAACGCTTACTTTCTATTATTCCAAAAGCGGCAGGGTGTTCTTTTTGTTTAGAAGTGGACCTCTTGCTTTGACCCTTTAAGCCAAGTTAATTTATTAAGTTAATCAGCTGGGTTACTGTGAGAGAGATTGCTCAGATGAGAGCTGGGGGTATAAAATACTTGTATACCCCAAAGCCTATAGATAATGAAGGCAGCTTAGTACTCCTTCAAAGCTATTTGGTTAAGTACGAATAAAAGGTATCTCACTTAGAGCTTTCTTATTTAATTGGGCTTTTGGATGCAACAAAGCTTGCATTAGTTTATGATTGAGTAAACTCTGTGATTAAGGCTCTTAAGTTTGTAGTACCTTATCCCTCGAATGAGTCAGAAATTTTTATCTCTAACGGAACCCAGGTATTTACTTTCCATCGGTTATAGAGTAGATGTTAGCGTTGTATAAGAAACTTGGTAATTGAGCTAGTCCTACCTGCCCTGTGTACTTATTGACTTGCCCTCCCTTTAAGCATGAAATTAGTACTAGAAGTAAAATTACAGGCTCGGTTTAAACAGTAGACTCTAAAGGTGCAAGAGAGTAGTAATAAACCACTACGTGCTTTAAGCGGAGAAACTACGACTCTGGTACTAATGGCTCTAGCTTACTCTGAGTAGTTAATTCAGTTAAAGTACAGTAGTACTGATTTTGATATTTAAGTACGCTGACTTCATTTCCGAGCTGTTCACTTTAACTAAGCGATGCAAGGAGTGTTTGAGTGTTACAATACCTTTTTGTCCTATAATGCATACCAAGATGAAATTTCTGTTCTTCTTGTTTATGTAGGGGTCTATTTTTTATATTTTAAGAATGCTTGGCCCAAATTTTAGGGTTATACATCTTTCAGTGACGGCCTTTGCGTTTTTGTTTATGATATATATTACCAATATATCCCTGTTTATGGTGCTATTACTTTAGGAAATTCAAGCTACAGTAGTGTTATCAGTCGTCTTCAATAAATGTTAAAACGACGAAGCAGTATATTAGCTTAGAAATTACAGTAGCAATCCTAGAATTAAGCAAGAAAAACAACCCAACTTAATAAAGGACAATTAAAGCATTTACTAACACTGAGTGATCTATTATTACATAGTTTAAATTTATATGAAGTGGGACTGCTCTCACCGACCTGCCCTCGAAGAATGAAGCTCGCCGAAAATCATATATAAGAGGGTACCTAACGCTCCTCTGCCATCTTGCTCTGACAAAGCCATGTGGACTTAAACGTCATCATGTAAAGCAACCAAAGGTTCAGCGTTGTAGCAAACCTACTTCTATGCGTTTATGAACTTTACTAAACTGATGTTGCCCTGTTCTTTCCAAAAGAACAGGCTTTCGTTTTATAGGGATTTTTATCTAGTAAGTACTGACCTGGGCTGCCATTTAGGCCTAAAAAAACATAGAATTCGATTTTGCGGACTTTCTCAAGCTATAAACCCATCGAAAACTTTATAGTTGAATTACCTGACTTTTGGTTTAGGTATTATCTTACTAGGTACTCGGGCTCATTGTGAAATACTGTCTCTTGAATAAGTAATGGCGTACTAAATTCATGTTTGAAATACCTTGTTGTATGCTTACATGTAAAAAAATAAATACAATAATACTCTTTACTAATATCTACTATATTAAAAGCCTCCTGACTAGTTTTTTGGGTGATGTCAACCTTAGCGAACAACCTTAATAGTAAATTATACTTTTTTTTGCCCACAATAAGATTGTCTTCAAAAAAACTTTGTATAAGGAAGGGTTTTTGACGTCCACTCAATGCTTGAGCCTGTACCAGCATATTTGCCTTTGTCGTTATTTTTTTTTTTGTATCTTAAAGCTTGTCTGGGCTTGGGCTTCCTTGGCTTTGAACTGAGCTCACAGCGATCTTGACTAACTTCATTACTCTAAGTTAGGTTTCCCCTCAGCAGTGTAGGTAGGCCTAAGTGGTAGGGCTATGCAGCTTTCAGGGTTGTATTTGACTGTGAGCTTTTAGCTTAAACTTTAACTTCCAAGCTTTCGTTCGAGTCAACTATACCTCTTAAGCAGAACAAGGAGTGTTCCTTGTCCTTTGGCTCCTTCGTAATGCGTTCGAGAATGCTCGGTCCTATATTTCAATGCACTTCAACTTCTAAATATTGTATACCAACTATTCGTTTAAAGAATAATTATATACCTATTTATCCTTTAAACAATGCCGTCACAAAACGTATACCCCCGAAAATTATAAAAATAATGGAAAACAACTATTCATAATCAACCTTATTTAACAGTATATCAGAAAACTATATACAATCATATAATTATTTAATTTCCATTTTAGTTAGACTAATTAATTATTTTTACTTATAGTTCGATGAGAGCAATTCAAAACATGTTGCCGTTAGTTATCTACCAAATTTTTTTTTGGCGAATATAAGTGTTTTTGGGCCTTTGGAAAAGTATTTGGCAAGGAAACAGAGTTTTAACCCCGTATGTTGCCATTTCTATGTAATATATTTATTCTACTCAAAAAAAGAATATATATCTGCAACTTAAAGTTTTATACTATCCTCGACGATAAGCAAAAAGCTTAATATATAGTGTCCATTCCAACACAGATATTACTTTATGGCAATTTATAAGAAAGTTCTGTGTCACAGTAGTCATAAAGATTCTCAGTTCATAAACTTAATTCTTTACAAGATTATGAAAAATAAAAAGAGTACAAGCTACTAATTACTACTACTGTATTTTATTATCTTTAAGGGGACCAAAAAAATTGGAATGATTCGTTATTTTGAGGATGACGGCAACTTAGGTAGGATTAATAATAAAAAACATGTGGGTTGCATATATACACGAAGCGAGAGAATACCGCGAAATAGGCCTCATTGTTACAACTTTAAAAATTGAATTTCCGTTCTAAATAACTCAAAAAGACAGGTCCTTAAAAAAATTAAATAAGTCGTAAATGATAACCAATTATACCTAAATATAGCTCCTACTAGATACAGACTATTTACACCTCATGTGCTCTTAGCAGTTCTAACAAGGATGTCATATCAACCAGAATATGACCATAGTTTATGACTAGTTACCCTAAAAATAGCCCAGGGAGGGTTATAATCCCACCTAGTTCTTTTTTGCGTATCTCTCTCTCATAGTTATTAATTTCCTCTAAAATATTGCTCTATATAAAACCTTAGTAAATTAGTTTTCTTAACCAGACTAAAATATCTAGTAAAACTAGACAGAACTGGGCACTGGTCAAATGACTATTCATAGAGGATTTTAACATGTACAGGTAAACGTATAATTTATAAAAGGGCTAACTCAGTAACCCACCGAGCCTCGAGTTGGTAGATGTTTTAGGTCTAAAAGAACCTAAAATACTAAGACGTCATCCCCTCCTACTAAGGATTCTAGTATTACAATTAGAATTATCGTTTCTGCTGCTCCATGATGGATGAAAACAGTTTAACTCTCCACAAACAATGATTGAATGGGCATCGTCCAACAACTTATATATCTTTAACATTCAGATTCTTATCGGATGCTTATATGTAGATAAAATGTTTACAGACCAGCATTTCTAAGTTTACCGCGGATGCCAGTTGATTTTATACTCTGCAGCCCAAAATATCCAAAAAGGAGTGTCTAATGTTCTTTATTAAAAAGTGTCTACACCTTTACCCCCTATTACAACGGTCTTTCTAATAAGCCGTGTAATTTGGGTACAAAACCCATCACCACTCTCATGTGAGTTTCAGATATTAGCGCAAACAAGTCTAGTTAATGAATGCGAAGTCATCAAAAAAAAGCGCAAGGCAAAATAATAACAGTAATGTTTATTTAAATGTTACCGGGAAGATTTCACTTGCCAATGGACTAAACCTGCGGAAGTTTTACCATTTTTAAGAGCGACTGGTTCCAGCCGTGCGTTACGCAACTCTCGAGCTCTTCTAAGCAACGTGCAATCCATTCATTCTTTTTAATGGCTCTTATAGTTCTTTTTTTGGTCCTAAACCCCTTTTGCGTTCCGAATAAGTAATTTAAAAAGTTTTACATTATTTTTTTTCAATTATTGCCGATTGTTTAATTTTAAAATAAGTCGCTCATCGATCTATAGATGTGTGTGCTGATGGCTTCCGTTAAAGGCTAACAATTTGTTTTAAAGTAAACTCATCCAAATTAGTGAAAAATTGCGCAGTTTTAGTCTACAGTCTCCTGGGCGTAAGTTTTGTTTGGTGAAAGTATATTGTCCGGTGATTAAAGTGACCACCCCACATTTAATTGGTTTTCCCTAAGGGGCGTATTTCAGGATCCGGCAACCTGGATAACTAGCAGGGTTATATAAAAACTTCAACAAAATAATTTCTTACCAACCAATCATAAAATTAATTTACGTAAAACAACATTAAAAACAAACTTAAGAAAAACGTAGTGATTAGTTAAACTTCAAAAAAAAAAAAATTGCTTTGTTATTTTTTGTTATGTTTGGTTAAGTATATGTAGAAAGTTAATAGTAATGAAGGGGTACCCTGATGGCATCACTTTTGAGATGCTGAAGAAATCGCCATTAACAAGGATGCATTATCTGCACCTCCTAGTAAAAGCTGCGATGGTCCTTAGCGCCTTTTCAGTTCTATGGAAGACGGCGACCGTTGTGATGTTGCCAAAGACACTTAAACCTGAATCAGTAACTAGCAAGTACCGACCCATCAGTCTCTTGTCAGCGGTCAGCGAAGTGGGTGAGGTCGTTTTACTGCGCCGCCTAAAAGAGGTCGTTAACACACGGGAACGCCTTGCCGAAACTTCAGTTTGGATTTTCGGCAAAGGCACTCAACAACTCAGCAGCTCCTCCGCTTAACTGTATATGAAACACTCGTGCTTTTAACTTTAAGAAGGCAACAGGCGCTGTCTTCCTGGATGTATAACAAAGCACTTGATCATGTTTGGCATGAAGTCTGCTGCACAAACTGCGCTCGTTATCCGTGCCTCATGCTCTTTACAACGTGCTGAAGTCATATCTAAATGACCGCGTCTTCAGCGTGCGCGTGGGGAATGCATAGTCGCCGCTGCGATCTCTGACAGCAGATGTTCTTCAGGTACCCCTTTTTTCGCACCTTTTATTTGCAATTTATAGGACCGACGTGCTATTGCCGTTAAATCCACTTTCACGAATGACCCTCTACGCTGATGATACGGCCATTTACTCATCATCGAGGTCTCCCGTCTTGCTATGCAAGCATTTACAGCGCTATCTTGACGCCCTTGCTGACTAGTGCCGAATTTGGAAAGTTTGTATAAATGCGAGGAAGAGCAAAGCGTTTTTAGCCCTAAGAAATGCGTCCCTGTGTTAGCGCCCTTAACCTTTGATGGCGTGAAGATCCCGTGGTGTTCTCAAGCGAAATACTTGGGGGTCATCAGCAACATACTTTCCTGGCACACCCACGTGGGCTACCTGGTGGCGAAGGTCGAGGCAGCAACTAAGGTGCTTTACCCTTTACTATGCAACAAGGGCAAACTTTCTCTGCGAAACAAACAGCAATTGTATATGTCTTACATCCCCAAAAATGACATACGCCTCTGCTGCTTGGACCTATGCCTCGAGTGCAATAGCGTCAGCACTTCAAGTGCAACAGAACGTCTTAATGCACGTGCTGACAAACACGCTGTGGTTTGTGCAATATGAAACTCTTCACCGGGGCCTGCAGCTGGGCCCCCTTAAGACGCCATCTTCCAACATAACGCCAACGCCCTTTACGACAGGCTAGCCAGGCACACTAATCGCCCGCTGGGGAGTGAACTTATTTACAAGCCATGGGACGGGGCACGCTATCATCGCCTACCTGACGCGCGCTAGCGCTAGTTTTGTATGTTTGTCAAGAAAATGATGATACCTTTTCGATTGAAAGCTACTTTGTAATAAGTCTGCGATCACTCCTGACTGAGAGCTGGAGTATTCGAAGTTTCTTTGACACCATCGAGCACCAGGAACTGCCGCTAATAAATAAATAACCTAAAAACTCACTTTACTAGGCACCGAAACAGCAAAGTTTTCTTTTTAATAACTAGAGATATAGATTCTTTCCCCCCTCCCACTCATCAGAGCCACCTTATTTCCAGAACTTCTTTTCAAAAGGAAACAGTTTCTTATAGATTTTTTGAAAATAATTACTTTATATTAATTTTTATTATCTGTCCATTCCAATATCTTACATTGCCCTATTAAATGTATCAGTACCAAAAACTACAGCTTAAGTACCGGAATTGTCAAAAATAACACTTTTTTATATATTGACTATCTATGTACATGAAGCGAGTGCATTTTATATGTATCAACGTAATAGAATTGAAGTTGTATACTAATAAATTTAGCACAGTGTATTCCCAAAACATCCAAGGAACTGTCGCTAATAAATAAATATATAAAGGGATAACTGGTTTTTCCCTCATTCAATTTCTTATTTTTATTCTTTTTATGCTTTTTTTACCTTATGTTAACTGTGTATTTTTAGTTAAATGAACTCTAATGAGGAGTCACGAATTAAAGCGCACTTTGTTAAAAGTTTGATTTAAAGATTGCGTATACTTAACGCGCAAGAGCCAATTATATTAGTTACAAACATGTTTATAACGTACGCGTGTGAGTAACGTATGATAAAACCTTAAAACGACGTATTCACTCGAGAAGTTTTATCTGTCGGATTTAATGCGAAGTAATTATATAAAAGATTCTACTCCTCCCTCCCTTTTATTATATAATAAAAATAATGCTCTATAGTTAAATCGTGAGAACTACGCGAAGGGGAGGTTGAGATTAACAATTTAACTCGTTGCTACACCTGTAAATTGTGTATTTGCGTCTGACATGGATGTTCAAGAGTTAAACTGTTCGGAAGAAGGAGTTAAAGCACTACTTTTTCTTGAAACACAAATGGGGTGGCTATTCAGAGAAGGGGAAAAAGATTGAAAATTTACAAAACAAGAAAAATGAAGCTTTAAAAGAGTCAGTGCAAGTTAAGCTTATATTCAGGTCTAAAGATTTAAAAGAAGGAGTAGTGGCAACAACGTTGGCGCAAGGATTTACACCTAATTTTAAAAAAATACGTTGTGTAGACGTTAATTATTAGAGGTAACACAATTTATAATAAAAGCAGTGCAGTAGTAAGCGATTTGAGGATCATAGTTATAATAAACTGAATAATAGTGGTAACAGTAATACTGGTATAATTATAGTAAGAGAGTTTATGATAGACGCCAATAAATGTTGTTTAAAAGAAAGAGCATAGATTCCAGCTTGAGTGGTGGAAGGTTAAATAGAAGAGGTCAAATGCAATAGCTTGTTAGATTCTGGTCCCAGTTTTAGTTTTATTTCTAAAAACTACCTTCACAAATATGGCCTTATAAGTTAACATTTATCAAAATTATTTGGAGGGGGACCTGTATTACCTCAGGTGTCGTTACGGTTAATTTGTCACTAAATGGCGTTTTTATTTAAGATGTTATGTTAAACATTATGGATCATTCACTAGGAACAAGACTGGACGTACTACTCGGAAAAAACCATTTTAATAGTTTTTTGTTTCGGATAGTGGGTCTTAAATGATATAAACCTTAATGGAAAACAGTGTATAGAGGAACAAAGCAAGCAATAGATTTTTTCGATAAAAAGGCAGAGGGGTCTAGGGTCGCCAATTTTGATGATGTAAAGAGATTAACTGCCAAATGGGCTTAGAAGATGTAGGGCGAGAGCTAATGAGCTTGAGATCCGAAAGAATTAAAATAAAAGATGTTAAAATTTTCGCTCAAAGGATATACAATTCAAGGTGGAACCCCGAAGTTAAAAATGTTACGGAACTGGCACCGTTGAAAGTTAAAATTAAGAAAACTCTTAGCGAGTATAGTCTTAATACGAAATTAAGGAAAAACATAGGTCAGGGTTATCATGCGGGAGTGCGAGGAGCTATTAAAAGCGGGATATTTAGAGGAAACATCCTACATGGCAATGGAATCATGTGCAAGTTGTGGTGGAAAAGCCAACTGTTAAAGATGCTTATGCATAAGGAATTAGGTTATCAACAGAGAAGTTCATGAGTATGTGTGCTGCGTTACATAAGTTAAATGACAGGTGTGTAGTGGAAAGATACCGGCACCGACTAAGGAGAATATTAATATTTCGGTTAAAGGTAACCAGTTGGAAAAATATATTATATGAGCCACAAAGCTTCCTGGTAAAAAAAAACTCAATTAAACCAGAAATTGTACTTTTATACAAATAATCCTAACGAGAAAATAACAAAGTGGTGTGCACGTAAAAATTTTCATGTAAAAAGTTGTTACTCATTTCCTCGAGCGCCACTTGTTACCGCCTCCGGTGGCTAGGCTTTCACCTATTGGCATGTTGGAAAAATCTAACATTATTTATGAGTTAAAAAAGGGAAAGTTTTTAAATAAAATATTTTAAATAGCAGATTCTTTTTTTTTCTAAAGAACGTATTATTATTATACAGTAGGGAGAGTAAAAAATGAGCAAAGAACTTCCTTTTTTTACAGTACAAGTCTTATTATTTTATATGGTTAGTATATCTCAAGAACTGTACTTACCTTCAGGTTTAAAATTTTATCTTTTCCTTTGAATTTTTTTAAAAAAAAAATAAGAATCCCACTTAATATGAACGCACTAACTATAGTAATTAGTGAAAACCCATTTCCTCTAGACTCCTTTGGGTTAAGGTATAAGCGAATAAGCAGTTTTACACTTGAGGTTGCACAGTTTCTACCCTTAGCACACTCGAAGTCCCGGAGTTCTACGCTGGTTAACTTAAAAGCTTCCCTTTATTTTTATAGCAATGTCTAAGAGCCGAGGTTTCTATTACGTTTTAATTCCCGCTGATCCCGACTTAACTTTGATGGAACATTATTTAAGCTACAGTGATGAAACTGAAACTAGTTGTCTTACCGATAGGTTAAAGGTGCAGTTCACTTTTTTTGTAATATCGCATCTTATATAATAACTGAATATTTTGCTTACGTAACTATTAATTTTTATTACTATTACTTATACTATAAAAACTAACATTAAATTTTTAAGTCATTATCACCGTCTTAACTCTCATTGTTACTTTACAATTTTTACTTTATATTGAAAGAGTTATTTTCAAAATTGTAAAGGTCTACATTCTTCTGTAATACAATCAGAAATTCTTAGGTCACAACTTGAGGAAGGATTAAAGAAAGAAAATTGTAATACTTTTTGATAATTTTTTGAGCCTTGTTTTAATTATAATCACTTATAGGTCATAGAGAGATAGATGAGAACATGATGAACCTGCTCCATGAAATGCAGGTAGTAGATATTATAGCTTTAAAACCCAATGCACCGGTTCACCAATTTGGTATGGCTCTTATTGTATATACCATCGTATATTTATAATCCGAACCATTTCCTCCCTTTACCTTTAATCACTTATTTATTTTTGGTCAAAAAAGATTGGTCTCCTTTTTATTTTATTAGTAACTCTATTATAGTACTGGATAGATAGATTAGTACAATAATGTCGCCACCTAGTATATAATATAAGAAGCTCGCGGCTCATAATCCTAACCGTACAATCGTTTACCTTTAACCTCTAATAAAACTTCTTCAAACTCTTCTATAGTGGGCGTCAACATGTATGTCGACGACAAGGCTGTTTCGAAGGGTCTACCCGTCAACTCCAGGGCAACTTCGTTAGCGCAACTATGCGGCTTGACCACTGAAGTTAGAGGAGATGCCTTCGTTGCAAAGGTTTTTGAGAATACAAAAGAAGAGTTCAAACGTTTAGACTTCAGATTGTCAGAGTGCAGGTGTCCAACCTCTCTTCTACTTTGTTTCTGTTTTAATTACTACTCTTGGTAGATCGGAGGCGGCATGGATTTCTGAGGCTAAACTCTTTAATACTAAGAAAGCTCAAGGGCTTGTTAGAGATGGCGTCTTTATAACACCACCCATTCTGTGTGCCAACTTGGGTTGCTACGAGAAGGGAACAAAAACATGCTCTGCTTGCTTAAAAACGAAATACTGCTCTTTTCGGTGTCAGAAAGAAGATTGGCAGCGCCATAAGCTGGATTGTAAAGAAAACAAAAATTAAATTTTTCTTGTTTATAAGATTAAAAACGGCACTCTTGAATCTAAGCAAGCTGTTAACCTTAATCTTTGACTTCGTTACCGGTCTGAGGAAAGAACATTTATTACTCTGCAAGATACCCTTTTTTGTAAAAAGACTACTTGTAAACTGCTGTTACGCCTTTCAAAAGTGAGACTTAGAAGTAGAACAAGTATCAAAACTCCAAAGTTTTCGCTTACATAATAATTCGCCCATAAAATTAAAAGCGCACTTATATAACGTATGAGTAGCTGCTGGGAATAGGTTTAAGCACTACTGCCTCAGACAATTTAGATCAAAAAAAAAGTAACAGAGCCATTAAATTGAAATGGGGGGTTGCAAATGCTGTTAAAACTTAAATAAAAAGCAATACTGTAAAAAAAATCTTTATTTAGAAAATCAATTTAGTAAAGAGGCAGAAGAACGCCCTAAGCAGAAAGCAACTACAGTTCATATTGGTCCTCAAAATCTTTAATAAATTACTAAAAGTTTAACAGTTAAACATAGGTACAATAGTATAGTATACCAGTCCATTAAATATTTACATAAACTAACCTTCAAAGTAACAAATAGACATATAAAACATCACTTCTAAAGGTCAATATTGTTACTGTACAAAAAATAACCTAAAGAAGGGCAATGGATCCAAAAAAGGTGCAAATTCACAAGTATTGCTATTAATAAAAAATTATAAACAACAACTACCATTAATTACATATATATATATATATATAAAGGATGGCCGCCTCAAAAAATAAGGTAGTTTCACGCGCCGAGCAAAAATTTATAGGTAGGCACACCCAATTTGCGGTACGCTCAAACGCAAATTACCAAAACGATCATCATTGGCAGCAGCAAAGTGATTATAACTTTAAGTGTATATATATACCCGCATAACTGAACTAACGGAAATTGTTTAGGTTGAGCTCGATGCCGTTACGTGATACTTATTAGTAGCAAAAGACAGGTGCTCAAAGCAATAATGCTGTTCAATGACTTGTTATCTGTAGACGATTCCTCAGTTCATAAATAGTTGCTGCAGGGCGCAAATAAGTAAATCCACGTGATCAAGTGAGAAGTCGGGAAAAAATAAAAATTAGCACCAGAAAAAAGTCAGCGATAAAAATTTTTATTATAGTATTTCTTTATTTATATATAAAAAGTGCCCAATCAAAGCACTATAAGTGTATGCCAGCAGGCGTGCCTTCTGCTTTCTATGCAAAACCATTTCTTTCGACTTTAAAGAGTCGCCGTGAGTCACTTTCATGCGCAAATTTTTGCAAAACGTTAATTTTTAATACCCGGAAATACGTTTATATAATATAATTAATTATATTATAGACTTTAACGTAACATAATTATGAAGTCGAAGGATTATAAGCACTGTAGAGATTTATTTGAAGTAATAATGGGCCCTCTAGGAGCACCAAACAACCTAACAGAAAACAAGAACAAGAGAAAAAATACCCTAGCATGCATGGGCCATATTTATATATAAACATGCAGCCCCTGATAACTTCAAGCACTAATATATTATTTACAGCATGAAAGTATTATGCTCAATAATATAACAAGGAAAATAACATAGAGTTAAAAATTTAAAAGAGCTGTACAATTTATTAGATCCTTTAGCCGCCTGAGTAGCACAACGCCTACCACCCTACAAACACTAACTACAACAACAACGACAAAAAAAAAATTAAAAGCACAACGCTCATGACATCCCTTAATCATTAATTAGGGTGTGGGCCCGCAGACGGCAACCCTCAATTAAATAAAACACTAGTAAAATAAAACGTATTTGGCTGTTGTTCCTTCTTCTCTCTTTATTCCTTTCTATATTACGTTATAAGTACGTATTCTCATGAGCATACGAAATACTACGTTCTTTGTTACCTTTTATATATGTAATTGATTAATTACTTTTTTTATATTATAAACTTTTATTAGCATTTATTTTTTTTAATTTTAATTTGAACCACTATATCTATTTCACTTTAACTACGTCTTATATTATTACACTCTTTTACGCTTTCGCTTATTACTTTTTTTTATTAAAAACTTTTATTAGTATTTCTTAATTTTTTTTATTTTATTTTAAACTATTATTAATTTATTAACTTTAATTACGTCTTGTATTATTACTTTCTTTCCCACCTGCAGAATACCTTTGATAAGTGCACCCAAAAAGCTTGGTAAGGACATCCGTTAAAGAATATCTTTCAGCTTCGTCTATGACTTATTGACGTTAAACTAGCTTTACTTACTCAAGGCGTCCATGATCTCTTTTTTAATGAAGAAAAAGTAGGTGGACCGGAGATAAGTTCTTCAAAGAGGCTGAAGAAGTCAGCACTGGGCAATTTAATTATGAACAGCCTCCAGCACGATGTAGAAAATAAAATTAAAGAACTTAAAGTTACAGAACAAGAGAGTAGGAAGAAAGTCACTTGTTACCTTCATGAGCAAAGCGCAAGAGGTCTGTAACACCATGAAACACCGTGTTGAAACAGTTCAATAATTCGCTAATCAACTTAGTTACCTCTCTGATGAAGTTAAAGAATAGTGCACAATTAATTCCTCACATGAAGGAATTATTGCATTTTTTCATCGGACCAGAGATTAATTTATATACAATGTTCTATCTCTTGAATGATATTATAGCAACAACCTAATGACCTCTACTATAAATACGCTCTTAACGCGCTTCTTCAAGCAGAGAGCAAAGATTGAAACTGAGTAAAAATGTTCCTTTGATACATTCTAAGTAAATAGGCCTAAGAGCAAATATTTTGTTACAAAATAACATTGTAGCACAGGGAAATAAAAGAGATGGTCTGTACATTCTTAACACTAAAATGCAAATAAAAGTTTTTCCATGTCGGCAACGACTAGTAATTCTGTAGTGACGAGTGTTCCAAATAACACTACAGGTTCGGTTACAGCAGCCATAACTACTTTATCCGAACAAGCTTTATTTTAAAAAGTAAGATTTGTGATATATGCTTAACATGTAAAATAAAGAAAAATAAAATTAGCAAGTTTAGAGAAACGCAGAGTTTTCGAAAACCCGGTCAGTTAATGTATATAGACACTATAACCTGCGGGTATTACTTCGTACGAGGGGTACAAATATATAATTGTTTGCACTAACGCAAAATCGAAACGTGTTCACTTCAAGGAACATCCTAAGTTTGAATCAAACTCAATCAAGTACGATGAAAAAAGGACTCTTTTGAATTATCTAGTAAAATCTTAGCGTTCGGATCACCAAATAACTAACCTAAAAAAGGGGTTATTCGTTAAAATGCAAAATAAACCTTAAAAGAAACGGTCAGATAAAATTAAAATTTTATGATTATTTAAATACAAATATCTTAGCAGATGTGAAATGCTCTGAAGATGGGGAAGAAATTGACTGCGAAGAAGAACAGCTACTGAAGGATATAGACATGCACTATGGTGAGTATAAAGAACCGGAAACTGCAAGCAAGGGACCCTCTGAAAGTGTTGCGGACAATACGCTAAAGAAACCTAGGTTATCAGGTGCTTTATTAACTCAAATACTTTAACATATTCTAAAGCAGTGTAATCAGCAGACAAAGACTTGTATAAATTAGCAGCTAAAACCGAACTCCCTTCATTATAAGATCATATTGGTTTCTAGATAATTACTATGGATTATATTCCTAACGAAAAAAACAGTATAAACTACGTGGAGGTTACATAATAAATCAGATAATCGATACGAAGCCAGATTAGTTGCCAGAGGCTTTTTCCATATAACAGATATAGCAACGGCATTTTTACATACAAAATTACGAAAACCTGTATATGTCACATATCACAATGAATGTATTTAATTAAATAAATTACCCTACCTTTAAAAAAGACTGCTTACGGAACATTACTTGAATGACAAAATTTGTGCATTAAAAATTGTTGTGCTTTATGGCTTTAAAGAATCAGCAAGGCATTTATATCGTAATTTGCCTACAAGGCGTAAAAAGTATGGTTACAGTCAAATTAAGGTATATGAATGCAAATTTCACACGAATAACTCTGAAACAATTGTAGGCATTAAGGCTGGTATTATAATTGGTGACCACACCTCCTTTATAAATAATACGAGGAAAGAGTATAATTTTAAGGAATGTGTAAAAACTTAAAGAATTTTGTGAATTAACATTGATGACAAGGGCAACGCCATCTTGTTAAATCAAAGTCATGACATTAACCAACTTTTACAGAAACAGGATATTGATAAGAAAAACATTTCGAAATTACCTTTTCAGTTAACACAGCTTAGGTAACCCTCGGATGCGGGTGCTAATGCACTCTTTTACAGCCGGCCGGGTCACTACGGGATATCGCTGATAGTACCAGCCTGATATTTCATATGCCACTTCTATGCTTAGCCGCTTCCTCCAATGCAACGGTGATGAACACATGAAGTGCGCGTTTTCGGACGTTAACGTACTTAATTGTACTAAAGAACTTTCTCTGGTAGATTACCATGAAAATAGTGTCAGTAGAATGAATGCTACTGTGAAGCTTCATGGCAGACAAATATTACTATAAGACTACCATGGGATATACCATACTTGCTAATCGCTGCCCTGCTTCATGGTCTTCTAACTTAAACAAAACAAATATCAATAAGTCTTCCTGTGAAGCTGTATGTATCACCATAATTTACCATAATCATAAGCAAGGCATTATCTAGCACGTTTGCTATTAGAAGTATATTAACAGAAATACTTCTTGCTTGCGGAATTGATATAAAGACCTATACAGACAACGAAGCGGTTAAGAATATAATTATAGGCGATGCATCTGATAAAAGAATTAGATATATTGATATAGCATATCATTACGTGAGGGATGCCATGCAAAGGAAAGCGTATGTTATACAACACGTGTACTCGATTTATTTACTAAACCCTTATCCCTACAAAAACATTACGTCATTACGAAATATTTATTTAACTGACGTAATACCATTTTTTTGTTATAATTATTCACGTGATCAAGTGAAAAGTTGTGAACAATAATAATTTTTGCAAAAGGTAAAATATAAATCTAAACTAGTAAAAATAAAACACAAGTGTAATTGTTGTTCCTTCTCTTTTCTTTTCTTCTTTCTTATCCCTCTCTGTCTATCAGAATGTCCCTAAGTCAAAAAAATAAAGGAAAGCAACGAGGGTCTCCCAGTTTATAAAAAAAAACATAACAATTGTCGCGTGTGAGCTACAAGCCTAAACGTATCCAAAAACCTTCCCCGCTAAAAATGCAAATTTTTGCACATTGGGCAGAAATGTCTTGTACTTCTGTTAGTCTTAATAAATTCTAAGCGAGTTGGTAACAACAACCCAGCGCCGTTTTATTAAGGTGGTAGCTATTTGCAGTGCTTTGTCTTTTGCAATGGATAGAATCGTTGTGCTAGCTAAGCCTTAAATAATAATTTATAACTACCTTCTATATCGAATTTATTTGTTTTAAATGGCGTTTTTTGTGCTCGATCTACTTAACAACTTCGAATACTCTACTTGTTAAACAGGTTTAGTCACCCACAAGTACAGTTGAGTTTTAATCTTAGATTATCCGTGTTTTTCACGTTTTAAACTCACAAGTTAGCATCTACCCATTACACCAAGAGTTGAGTTATTCGGACGGTATTATGCGCCCGCCCACGAGTCGTAAGTGAGTTCTCTTGGAAAAAGACGATAAGCCCGTCCAGCTATCTGATTTAAAGAAAGTAAACATTGCTTGAGAAGACCGTAGTCAACGACTCAACCTGTAGTTTGCAATGTAGTGGATAATTACGCACATACTACGGCGTGTAGGAGAGCAGTACGTTACTATCGCTCCATATAAAGGATTAGAGCTTAATTCGCTAAGTCGACCTTTGCTACCACTTAATTAAGTACTTACTCCACGACAGCTAAGAATTTATGATTACCCCAGGTATTTCACCTGAGAGT